CTTGGTTTGCTTTTTATGCACTTGTGTAACACTGTTCACACAAAATCAGCTCTGTCTTGCTTGATGCCAGTCTCCCCACAGTCCTGGGAAGCAAGACACAATCCTGCATCCCCTAACGAAGTTATGACATCTCCCCAGTCCCACACTCGTTACAGAGCTCAGGCTGTGGACCTACTCACGCTGCCAGGCACAGTTTCATGCCTGGCCAGTCATAACTACACCTGGTCAGATATCCTGGGATTTAGGTGCTCATCTTTAATCTGCCATTCACTTTTTCTGCCTGATTTAGCAAGAGGTACAATGTCTGTGCAGCCAGCAGAGAAAGCTTTACACTAGCGTTTCAAGACTCTCAGGTAGTATCAAGATGACAAAAACACTACAACAGCCCTTTCCCAGAGGTTTCTCTGCCTTACATGTTACTTATTTTCTGGCATAATATATTTGAATGACTTGATACGAACTTAAAATTTTTTTTTCGGAAGAGTATTAGAGGCTATTTGCAGTGCTCTGTATGACAGGGATGAAAGCAGCAAGGCAAAGTCCACATGTTGAGTGTCCTCAGCAAAGAGTTACATGGCTGTGGGACTAGAGAAAGTTCTTGTAGTTCTTTAAAAGTTAATCTTAAGCCACTTTTGCTACACATTAATGTCCATCAGTCTTTACCTTTTCCCAATACTGTCTTTTTATTGTAACAGTGGTAGTAAATAGTTTACAGAAGTGCTCCAGCAACCTGACTGATCTCTTGCACAGGTTTTATGGGAGAGATGAGTCAATCCCAGTGTTAATGTCATGTCCTCATTGGCAGTATTACATAAAGTTGTCCTTAGGGATGGAAATGCTTGGTGGTGCAGAGCAGAGCACTCCTGTGTCTGCCCAGTACCCAGAGAACAGAAAAGACTGGCTGTGGGGCAGTAAATCCAACCACAGCAAGATTTCATGGAGGAATATACAAAATGCAGATGATAAATGTTTGATAAACACCAATACTTTAGAGAAGTGTGATACGTAATTACCAAAATAGTTAAACCTAAAACTAACTCAGCCTTTCCTTCCAACCACCCCTGAGATAATAACCCCCTGGCACCTCTTTCCATCTCATCTGTGTCAGGCCACATTGTCTAGCTCATAAATTGGATGGAATACTGCAATCCACTTCTCATTGATCATCCTTAATGTTTTAACAGAATTGAGAGCTCTTTGCTGCAAGGTATCACATGATAGGGAGCTAAACATTATAGTGCTGCTGCACTGAAAGGTTTGTTCAGGAAAGTTTTAACTGATTGATTAGGATCCTTGGTTCAGGGACAGTCTCCTTGGCTTTCACAGCAATGTCTTGGTACTGCTGCTTTCTTGCTTTGCCTGTTTTCTTTACCTTCCTTTCAGGAAAGGACAATTTCACCAAGTAAAATTGCTGAAATGGTGGCACCTGAAGTCTGGTCTCAGATGGCAATTGCCAGCCCATGGGCCACCCTGGCTGCAGGCACAGCTCCCTTGGACAGTGAGTACTGGAAACATTGCTTTTCACCCCAAATCAGAAACAAACAATATTGTGAAACGGCAGCAACCTCTGAAACAAAATATATGTCACCACCCACACAGTGCTGTCAGCTGTGCCAGATCCCCACCACCAAAATGCAGAGTTCACCCCTGAGAAGCTAAATCTGAAGAGAGTTTAGGTCTTCCATTTAGTTGGATACTTTTGAGACTGCCTTATTCACCTTATTCACCTTATTCAGGATGCATCTGTACTTGGTAGCTTGGGCCCTTTGTCCTGGAGGGGAATGTCACTGTATGCTGGGTTAGGAATAGGGATGATGGTGTTTCTCTTCAGCAAGAAACAACAGCAGGAAGGAGTTAACAGGGTAATAATTAAGTTCCTTGGCACTTTCCTACAAGAGCAACATATTCCACATTTAAAAGCCCTGGGAGGCCTTTCTTCTCTTAGTTTTTGGCATGTGAAGCATGGCTGTAACGAGCACTGGGTATTTCAGAGAGGACAGCTGGACAGCAGCAGCTCCTTTTGGAAAGTACAGCCCTTCCTCTCTCCTTGCTCAGCTGGCTCCAGGGTCTGTTCTGCAGCCCAGGCTGAACATGCCCTGCTCCTCACCTTCGTGGAGCTCCCTCTCCACTTGCACAGCTGTTGGGGCAGAACAGGGACTGACCATAGCCTTGTCATAATGGGGTTAACCTTAAACTGGTTTGCTCAAGAGCAGCTGGAGAGCAGCAGCTCCCCAAGGGTGCCAGCTCTGTGCCTGCCACTGACTCACAGGATGTCAGGCTGCAGGATCTGGGTGTTGCAGGAGAGGCTGTGACAAAAGCCAGACCATTGTGCCCAGATTTCCTCCATGACTTCAGGGTTGCAACTTGCTTTTGCTAGAAAAAGGAAGCTGAGTGCCTTATCTAATCCCAGGGCCAGGCAGTGGGAAGCTGAGGAAAGGCAGTTGTTTTGTGGAGGGGCTGCCAATGAAATAGTAAGATTGAAAACCCAATATGCGTTTGAATAATGCGTCTGTGCCACAGATGCCTGGTGTGAGGTACTCAGATGAGGGGAGGGATGCAGAGGGAAATTTCTGATGCCTCGTTGCCCTTGGCTGGACTCACTCCAGTGCCTCAATGGCCTTTGGGCAGTGAGTGCCCAAAGCTGAGCACAGCACTGAGCTGGGACCTCCCCAGTGCCCAGTCCAGGGGGATG